CCTGGTCCCCCCAGTCGACTAAGTTCCCCTAATAGCTACTCAGCCACACTGTACCCGCTAGTCGGGTTGGTCTACCGCGTCGTCTAGCCTATTAGCCACAGCTATAATACAGACGGTCTAACACCGCTCATTCTCAGACCTACTATAATACACCCGGTTCCCTAAGCCGGTTCTCATACTCTATTGCCATACTTACTATAGTACACCCGGTTTTTGAACCGGCTAACTTATTCCACAGCTAGTCCCTCTCGACACTATTTTACATCCGATTCAGCTCCCCGTTGCTGCCGCACAAGGGGTGAACCGGTCCCCAAACCTACGTGGCCTTTGCCCACTCCAGGTTCAAATGAATAAATAAATAAATAAATAAATAAATAAACAAATAAATAAACAGGCCAAAATCTCTACATATTACCACCCGTCCTTCACCTCCCTCTCCCATCCCTCAAACTAGCTAGTAACTAGTCTTCACCAACACTTCAGCGAGCATCTCCCATGCCTCGCTGAAGATGTTGGTTACCCTGGCAAACCTCGCCAGGGCTTCTGAGAAGAGCGCCGGGGGGTATCCCCGACGCTTGAGCTCAAATGCGATGCTTAGTACTGGTGCGACCACTGCAAAAGGGTCGCTGGCGTGCTGCTGAACTCTGTGCAATGCTGAGACTATCGTACCGACCTTCACCTTCTTATCTGTGTACAAATTAAAATCTTGAAAGCATCTAAATTTGAGGTAGTCTCCTTCTGTAGTCCCTTGATTCTTGTGTGTAGGCCGAATCAGAAACTCGATGGGGCCTGCCAACGCCGTGATTCTCATGCCTAGGAAGTCCCAGGAGTTATAGATGCATCGTCCGTACGGACCAGGGTCAACTGCTTTCCATAAGCTCCGGCGAACTTGTCTTGTATCTTTTTTGCTGTCCTCACACTGGCAGGTTCCATGGGGTTGCACGCAACGATAAGCGCCACATCATCTACTAGCCTTACACCATGTACCAGTTCTTGATCCCTTCCTAATGAGCCGATGAAGTCTGCCTCGAACTTTGCACAGAGGGTGCAGGCAAGCGGGGGGCTGGAGTTCTTCCCCATCGGGATACCCACCACTTGCTTTAAACCACTGCTACCCCGACGTCGTAAAGTAGGGGGGACTGGTAGGCTGATATTAGTATTTCACCTTCGGCCTACCAGTAGTACAGGGTGGGCCTCACTTCATTCTTGTTTTTTKTTTTTTTTTACTCTGCAAAAAAAAAAACGAAAACGTAACTGCAGGTGCCACCGCATTTCATGCCTAAATCCTCTGCCCCTGACACGCATGGATGATTGCGGTGTACATTTCGGTTTTCTGCTGGAAGGTTCACTGCGTGTTTTTTTTCTGTTTTTTTTTCCCTAAAAAAAAAACAAAGAAAATGAAAAGTGCAGCGCCTGCAATGAAAACCGCACGCCGAAAAAAAAAAAAAATGTTTTTTTTTTTTTTTTTTTTTTTTTTTTTTTAAGGTCGCCGACCCCCCTCCATTTTCGGCCCTAACTCCCCAGGAAGTCGACTTTCGGCAATGAGGGGGAGTGGTGGTTTAAGATCTTGCCTTCACACATAACGTACGTATTAGCCAGCTCAAACTTGACCAGCTGCCTGATCGCCTTGAACTTCAAACCAACATATCCTGGCCCCGGGCTTCCCCGGTTCACTACCACAACTTTCCCTCTCCTGCTGAGGCTGATCCTGTCCACTTCCTTAAGTTGCCACTGATCTAGCAACCAGTCGACAGCCTTGACAATCTCGAAGTGCGGTAGTGAGGTGAACATTTCTTTAATATCAAAGCTGGCTGCCAAGGCTAGCTCGCTGTTCCCGGTCCTTCCTGACAAGATTACCATAACAAATCTACCATATCCATAGTCAAAAAAACGGAATAGACAGAATAACGGGGCAAAACCAACCGGGATGCAGACAAGATTAGCATAACAAATCTACCATATCCATAGTCAAAAAAACGGAACCATACTTTTTTGACTATGGATATGGTAGATTTGTTATTGTAATCTTGTCTGCATCCCGATTGGCTTTGTCCCGTTATTCGGTCTATTCAGTCAACAGGTAGCGGTGCTTCATGTGGGACCAGTCATCCAGTTTTTTTTTTTTTTGTTTTGGGGCATCCTGGTTGGTTGTTTCCCGTTGTTCGGCCTTTTGGAACGCGGGGCGGTGCTTGCATGTGGGAATCGTCATCCGGGATTGTTTTTTATACCGGTTCTCCAGGTTCTTATTGATTTTTTTTGCAGACAAGAATGCTTGACATCCTGGTTGGTCTTGTCCCGTCGTTTGGCCTGTGTGTTGGGGCGGTGCTTGCATGTGGGACTTGCCATCTGGATCTGTTTTGTTTTGCCCCCTGTTCTGTTTTTATTTGGCTGTTCCCTTCCTCTTTTCTTTGTCTCTTTGCCTTTTGGCTGTGTGCAAGTGGGTCAGGTGGGGGCAGCCGCCGCTCAACCTACATCCACGTGGGCGGCCTTGTACGCAAGAGGTTCTGAACAGGGGGAGTTATAAGGAAGAAGATAAAAAAAAAAAACTGAATTCATTTTTTCCTGTTTTTCTTCCTTTTTTTCTTTCTTTTTTTTTGCATTTGCGCTCTGAATTTTTGTGACAATATAATATATATATCATCCACGTGGCTGGCCTTGTACGTAAGAGGTGATGAACAGGTGAGGCTTTCCTTCCTTCTTTTCGTTTCCTTGTTTTGCTTTTTTCCGCCTTCGCGCTCAAGTCCAGGTAATAAACAAGCATCGGCCATCTCCCGAAATGTATGACGAGATATTCCAAAGTCTCTATAATAAGCTTTCGATCTTCCAGTTACAAAACATATATTTTTTATTCGAGTACCCGCACTATTACGAGGTAAAGCTTGCAATTTTTTATAAAAAATCCACTTTTCTTCTACAGATRAAGTTTGATTCATTTCTTTCTTTAAGGATTGACGGAGGTTAAAATACTTTTCTACCAATCTTTGACGTTTTTTATTTCGCTCAAACTTTTTTGATTCGCAGTGTGACAATATATCCTCCGACGTTGCTAGCTCTCTGCTCTTGCAGATGATGCGGCTAGCGTCGGGCCTGTACTAGCAGGCACATGCTCTCCCTTATGGCAGATTTTATTTTTTCATGTTCCTTCTTTGTGGTTCCGTTTATTTTAACTCTTGATTACATTTAAAGGTTGTGTTCAACCTGTCATCCACGTGGCTGGCCTTGTACGTAAGAGGTGATGAACACGTGGGGCTTTCCTTCCTTCTTTTCGTTTCCTTGTTTTGCTTTTTTCCGCCTTCGCGCTCTGATTCACAGTGTGACAATATATACAGGGCGGTGACCCCTTGAGGTATTATCATCGGACTAACCAGCCCAGGTAAATTCAATCTTCTTTTTTTTTTTTCCGAACAGGGCTGTAGCCTTTTCAGCCTAGGGTGGCCTTATTGCCTTCAGGGAACCCCTACCAGTAGCAGCCATCTATACTCTGACATGAGAGCATGAGAGCGACACGGGCCAGGGGACAGCCGGTAGCAGACGGACCCAGCATCACCTGAGTCCCCAGTTGCTGTGCGTGCCCGATTACCCCCCCCCCCCCCTCTATGAACATCAACAGAAATTATTCATAGATGAGACGATGCCAATTTATTTATTTTTCTTTTTTTTTCTTTTTTGACGATGCCAAATTTACTACCCAAAAAAAAAAAAAAAGATAGGATTACCTGTATTTTCCGCAGTTAATATAAACAATATTATTAGGAATAAGGATAATATTACAACAATTTTTTCTTCAGTTTGTCGTTTCCTTTCTTTTTTTTTTTTTTTTGCGTTTACCTCACCTTTGTTTTTTATTATTACTAGTATTATTATTTTATGACGTCGTGTTGTTCTCCTTGATTTGGTTTTCTTTTGTATCTTCTTGCTCATTTTTCTTACCTTTCTCTATTTCTTTTTTCTATCGTTTTTATTTTTTAATCTTTGACTAGTTTTCTTTTAAATCTTCTTGCTCATTTTTCATACCTTTCTCTATTTCTTTTTTCTACCTTTTTATAATTAAAAAATCTTTGATTTATTTCTTTTAAATCTTCTTGCTCATTTTTCTTACCTTTCTCTGTTCTTTTTTTTCTTCCTCACGGTTCAACTTCCTCCGTGGAGGAGTGCATCTCCTTCCTTACGACAGAAGGTAGTCTCAGACAGGCAGACAAAAACAATTACTGTGACAATAAAATTGAGTTATGTTTTTTTTAATTTTTTACAATTAAAATTGAATTACTTACTTATACGTCATAATTTTATTATTCCGTGACCATTAACTAGTGCAATAGTTGATATTGTATTCGCCCATCTGAAAGATTAACGGTCCTTAACGGCCCTTATATTCACTGAGAGGAACCAATCAAGCAAAAGCAAGAGAGAAGAATTGCATTTTCCACAGACAAAAACAAAGTCAAGATAATGATAAGATAATGAATAAGATAATGGATAAGATAATGAATAAGATAATGAATAAGATAATGAATAAGATAATGGATAGGGACAGCAGGTTCAAGGGGCAAAGATTACAATCACAACTACTACACCATCCATCACCAGAAAAAAAAAAACATGTCCTTAAAAAGACAAGGACAAAATACTCTTTCGTTTTCTTTTCAATATGAACAATGATCCGTCGAGCCCATTCGCTTATCGTCCTTTTCCCTCTCCTCAGCAAACCACTTGCTCCTCTCTCTCTCTCTCTCTCTCTCTCTCTCTCTCTCTCTCTCTCTCTCTCTCTCTGTGGATCGGGTGAGCAGGGCATGCTTGGTCAAGATCTCCGTTCGGCGCTACCACATTTTGTCCATTTGCCAAAGTAGAGAGAATTGACGGGGGGCTCTCCTGYCGCCACGTGTCAAAAAGCACCACCACCACCGGGATTGCCTATCAGTCTGTGCAGATGCGCTTAGTCCATTTGCCAAAGTAGGGAGAATTGGCGGGGGGCTCTCCTGCTGCCACGYGTCAAAAAGCACCACCACCACCGGGATTGCCTATCAGTCTGTGCAGATGCGCGAAGAAGAACAGAAGGTCGTCATAGCAATGGCAATCCGACTCTCCGAGGAAGGACACGTGGCGCTGCTTGCAGAGGAAGAACACCGCCTCGACGGTTGACAGACCCTCCGAGCATACGCCACGTGTATGATATCTCCAAAACGACGTCTTGGCAGATTCCACGTGGACCTTCTTTAGGCCCGCTAATCGAGGATCGGCTGCCACGGTTCCCGCTTTCTTCCACTTGGCATCAATGATTACCACCTTCTTGATTGCCTCATCAGGGAGTTGCTGATGCGCAACGGATTCGCTAGATGGGAAGAGAACGACCGTCGATGACGTGTCGTAGTACGGGATGTTATCCGACTGCACAATGCGAACATTATTTGGCGCCAAAACTGCCACGTGGACCGCCGTGCTCATGCTCTTTCGCTCTTCCACGTGGAAAAGAATGTCGATGTCGAATGGCAACTGCAACCGCGGGACAAGCGCTTGATCGATGACCAGTTCGAGGCAGGTGTAGCAAAAAAAATGGCGGGAGTTTCCACAACTCGGGCAATGGATCCGACGTGGCAGCTTTTCCAGATCACGCGGATCGCGGGAAAACCGAAGACCCTCGTGAAGCCTCCTCAGCGTCCACGTCGGATTGCGCCAACACAGCGGTTTGCCTATCCCGATCCCGATCCCTCCTCCTCTCACCTTCCTCCGCTCTTGACTAGCACCTGGTGGCGGGCATTCGCCACCAGCGGAGACGTCCTCGTATTTTTGGCGGGAACGCCGGTCGTCGTCCTCGTGTTTTTGGCGGGAACGCTGGTCCTCGTCCTCGTCCTCGTGTTTTTGGCGGGAACGCTGGTCGTCGTCCTCGTGTTTTTGGCGGGAACGCTGGTCGTCGCCGTCGTCGTCTTCCAGATGCCGGACGAGACCGCCATTATCCTCCTCCTCATCTCGCCGATCGCTGTCTTCCCGCCACGTGGCAAATTTTTGCCAGTCCGAAAACGGATCGCTCCCGGCCGATTTCCCGCCACAAAAGAACTCAAACACGTTTTCCTCCTCCCCCGTTGCGGCGATGGAACCTCCTCCTTTCCCCGAAAGTTCATCCTTGAAACCATCATCATTTCCATCTTCGCTGCCGGGACGATTCCGTACATCGTACGGAAACTCATCATCCTCGACCATGATCGACGGCGATCGGGGGCTTCGGCTCCACTGGTGACACGTGTCTGCTGGTGACACGTGTCTGCTGGTGACACGTGTCTGCTGGTGACACGTGTCTGCAGGCAGCAGAAGTCACACAGCGAGCCAGTGGTTAAACAGCTCTGCAAGCCACGTGGAAGTGCATTAATTGAAATAGAAGTAGAGAAGGCGGCCGGGTGGCGGGCGGGTGGCGAGGCGGTAATCCACAATTTTTTCCATTTTTTTTTTTTTTTTTTTTATTTGGACCACTTCTCGACTTATGCGTGTCAAACAGGCCCTCTGGAGGATTACAGCGATCGATAGATCGGCGCCAATCCACAGTTTAAATCAGCAGGCCTGTGGAGAACTACGGCGATCGAACCAATGGACCTAGCTAAGTTGGTACACCCATGAACCTCGTCTGAAATGTATCTGGCCAGAGTTCGAATCCAGATACCACCAGATGACCAGAATAAAATCATTCTGGATTACCTGAGGGAAGCGGCCAGTTCAACGGTGATGATATCTCAAGGCCGTTTCCCTTCTCCAAAAAAAAAAAAAAAAAAAAAAAAAAAAAAAAAAAAGAGAAAGGAACTACAGCAACAGATAGATTGGATGCTTCGCCCGAAAGGAGATGCAGCGAAGAAGTCTTTTAACTCCACCTCCTTCCTCTTCCCCGATCAATTAATCAATTCATCAACCATGAACGATCGATATTTTTTTAACCCATAGTGAGGCTAATCAATCAGTCGATGCATACATGACCCGCCATTGAACCAACTGATCGACGCGATTAACTCCGGTTAAGTAATCAATCACTGGACACATGCACGACCAAACTGATCAACAACTAATCAATCACTGGACGTGCACATGACCAATCAATCATACAAAAGTCAACTGATTGACCGGTCAATCGACTGACAGCTGTCTAGTTTTGACAGGTCCATGAACCCGGTCCCGATCGATCGGGACCAGGTTGTTGTCAAAGAATCTTCAGCCACAGACGACAGCAAAAGTCCACGTACACGAGCATCCCCCCTCTCCAGAAAAAGCACCTACTTTCTCCCTCGAATAGAACCCACAGTCATCAACGCTGTGTCTAGACTCAAAACGTTTTCATCATCTCTGTGTCTCTAGACTGAAAGTCGTCTCCCCAATTACAGCTGCTCTGACCGTGCGTTCTATTCCGGTGAAGACGGTAGTCAGGAGAGGAAAGGGGGAACGAAAAGGCGACAGCGGAGCGAACATGTGCAAGGCTAATTTGTTTGGGGGGGAGGAGGGGGGAGGAGGGGGGAGGAGTGACGGGGGGTGTGGCGATCACATACCGAGAACAATACGAGACAGAGAGAGAATAGGCAGACAAGAGTAGGAGGGGGTGGCTACTGTAGGGCGCTTCAAAGCAGGGACACGTGGATGGGTTGGGACCGTACCTTCGTTTGGCTGATGAGTCGTTCGGTTCAGGGGAACTCCGTTCTGGTGAGACAACGACGGCCCGGCCTCCCCCCTTCAGGTCAGCCAAAGGACCGAAGATAAACTGATTGAATTGAAATACCGGCATGGGAACCTTATATATAGCTTACGCGCATTTGTAACAACACATCGAGGCCCGACGTACACAACACCACCCATCAGAGTTTTCCCAACCTCCAGCCATGAGCCGTGGAAAAAAGCAGGGATAATTTGCAAAATACCCTCATCATAAAGTAAGCAAATGAGCTGAGCTTTCTTGTAAAAAAAATATTTATAAAAAAAAAGGCGGGCCCGACGCGAAAAATAGTGAAAAAGGTGGGCCAGATGTGAAAAAGAAGAAAAAGGCGGGCTGGATGTGGAAAAGAAGAAAATGGAACTCGTTGGTCTCCGCTATCCAAAAATGGAAAGATGCAGCTATGGCTAGCCAGAAGAGACAGAAGGTTTCTATCAATGAACAACCCCACTCCCTCACTAATTGCACAGTTCAAACATGCCCTCCGCTCGGGCATAACTGGGGATTGGTTCAGACTCAAGAACAAGTCGTCTTCCAAGGAGGTGGCCATTTCCGCCTTTCGCAAGAAATGGGCCTCTCCCTTTCAATGGACAGATTTTTCAGAAGATCACAGACTCTTTTATTCGGACCTTCTCTGGGACCATCACACTACGAGACCTTGAGCATATAGCCATATTAGACAGCCTACTCATGGAGTAGCTGAGAGGGTCTGAGCCTTGAGCCCCTAGATAGGTACTTCAGCAATTATTGGCAACTCTCTTCTTGGCCCTCTTATCTAGGACCTCTTTCCAAGGTCTTCCCTCCTGTCCAGTTTTGTCCATCCTTTGGGGAGTTTTGCAGGTTCATGGGACGCTGGACCCGGTTTCCAGCAATGGGTTTTTTTTTTTTTTTCCAGGTTGTGATGCTGAGGGATTCCTGGCCTCATTCAATCATTTACAAAAAAAAAAAAAAAAAATGGAAAGATGGTGCAGCTGGGTCTTTTTCGGAGGAGCAACTCTCATAAAGCTATGGAGGCAACTCCAGAAACTACCCTATCTCAAAAACAAAAAACAAAAAAAAGAAACTACCGGATCAGAAAGCAGCCAGCCTTCTGTGGCTGCAGTCTATGCAATCTGTTCCTTTCTGCCCCTTGGTTATCTCAGAAAGGGGTGAGGAGGATGATCGCTCCTGCTGTATGTGTTCTATGTAATTGGGCTTGGGAAACAACAGCACATCTATGGATGGATTGTCCTTTGTCCCTTCAAGTGTGGCAGTGGTGAAGGAAGCATTGGCTGTCCTTGGGTAACTCCTCGCTCGCCTTGTCTGATTCATGGATTCTTTTGGGTTCCAGTAGCTCGATCGGGACCTATGAGTTGGGTCAGGTTGGGGATATGTTGCTCAGGTGTGCAGGGGACTAATTATGAATGTGATTTGGCAAGCACGTAACGAAAGACTTTTCAACGAAGAGGCTTCCCACGTGGAAAAGATAAAGGATCTCGCTGCACTGCTCTCGAAATATGCAAAAAGAGAGCGAATCTTCCACTAGAATATGGAAAGATACACCACCATGATTTTTATCTTTTGTGCATGTCGAGAGTAGTGCAGCGAGGCCCAAAGAGTTTAATCAGATCACAGATTAGGTTGGTGATCATTGCGGACTGGCAGAGGAAAGGTCCGATTTGGTTTATACGTACCTGGGCGCTGAACGGTCAACTTGCTTTAGTACCCCAGGAAGGGACTAGGAAGCTAGTGATTGGATCCTGGCTCTTTGCCTTTTCAAAGGTTTAGCCGTTTGTTTGGATGTGGATGGATAGTAATTCTACCGGTTTAGGTAGTCGAAAACGTTTCGACGTCGGAAACGACATTGATTTGCTAGTAGGTTTAGACTGAACTCAGGCACCAAGTAGGATGATGTCTTGTTCGGCACGGAATTACTTTTGAGCTTCAAGGGATTTTGAAAGATGAGGGTAGACCAGTGAAAGGATGGGACGCTGGACCCGTTTTCCAGCAATAGCCCAATTAGGGTCGTGGTTCCATATCTTCCGGGTTGCTTGTGGGGAATTCCCGACCTTCTTTCATTGGTAATTAAAGATGACGACTCTTCCGAAAAAAAAAAAAAAAAAAAAAAAGGCGGGCGCTGAGATCAACATGGGTGGGGCCATGTGCCTCTAACGTAGCACAAGGGTTCAGTTAGAAGACCTTTTTTCTTTTCTTTTTTTTTTATCATTTCAGGTCGGGAGCAGCCCCTGCATGTTCTCTCATGAACACGGTTGGGTGCTACGGGGTTCCCCGGCCTACAATTAGGGATTTAGGAGTAGTGATAGGTAGATAGTGTGAGGTGAAATTAAGAGAAGAATGTAGCTTTAAATTTAAATAATTAAAAAAAAAAAAATGACGCTGGGAATTCCTCACAAACAACCCCGAACGAAAACTGTCACAACTGGGACCATTACCCAGGATAGGTTTGTGGGTTTCACCTCAACAACACTTGGCAGAGCCATATCGAATAAAGAGGCTGGCAGGCCTTGGTCTGACCGGAGAACAACCAGAATGAAACAGGCCAAAATTCAAATAGGCGATACAAGAAGAAGAAAATAAAAAGAACAAACATGTGATAGCCTAGCCTTCTATCTGGGGTAACGCCCCTTTTGCAAAACCCTGACTAGGACGTTAAGGTGGATCCAAGGTCCATCTACTTCTGGACACTCTCGAACCCTGACCATCCCCCCTGCCTCCTACTGCGGATATTTAACCAAGTGCCCTGGTTGTTCCTCGTTACTATCCAAAACTATACCTAACGTCCTACCACCCTTCTCCAGCTACGGTTAATCAAAAAAAAAGAAACAATAGACATTCTTCTACTCCATGTCAAGAAGACCCTCACTGAGGGTTTGTTGACACAACTACTGCACATATTGTATTTGACTTCTAGCATGGTTTGTTGCATTGTTTTTTGGGTTTTCTTTCCTCTTGTATTTTTTTTCTTCATCCCCTACCAGTGAGACACAACGGATTTCACATTTTAACGACCTCATATTTCGTCAGAGCACCAAGCACACGACCGTCTTAACCCAACAAAAATATATGTATTACGTACCTTGTGTCAGAGCACCAAGCACATGACCGTCTTAACCCAACAAAAAGATATGTATTGCGTACCTTGCATATGAATACAAGGTACGTACCATGTCGAACAAATTTTAGGGTGCAACTTTCCTAAGGCGAGGGTGGAGAAAAATAAAAATTATATATAGTAAATGTTAGTAATGATATAAAGAATAGAATACAACTACGTAGCACCGTGTTCACGTTAGGAGGCGAACACAAACCTGTTCGCCCGAACGCGAACAAGCGTCCAAAACACTCCGAACGCGAAAAAAAAGAAAAAAAAAAAAAGTTCTCTGAAAAATCTAAAAAAATAATATGTTATGTAAAATAATAATACAAGAAACTTTTGCCCGTGAAGTTATGTTCAAATTTGTAGCCAATCATTAGTTAAAAATCAAAAATTGAAAAATATATATATATCGTCACAAACAGATATATATATATATATATATATATATATATATATATATACCGAAAAAAACAATGTTTACCCGAACATGTTCGTGAGTTGTTCGAGCGAACACGTTCGCGTGAACGTGAAGGGGCGCGAACACGTTCACCGTGCTACGCAGGAATATAACTCTCACTTGACATAACTGTTTGAACATACCATAAGTAACTCACTACGTGAAGGGGAAAAAAAAAAAAAAACGAAGTTGCCCACTACATCTCTCTTATTTCCACGGACGTGATGACACTCTGGCATAGCTCAACAAGCGATGGATGACACGATTGCTCACATGCAATCGCCTGTATTTGGGACTACTTTTAGTCTATACATAGACGGGATGAATGACCAACATGCATATGGACTGCGTAACTACGTGGTGCTACCGCAAGTCCCATACTTACACATGCGAACATGAAGGGCGTTGACTCCTACCAAAACGGGGCTGCAGTGTGAATTTTTTTATTTTTTTTTTTAAATAACACATCAATTCCACAACTGCGTCAAGTTTTAGAGCTCGGACGAAGTAGACTTCAAAGTCAGCAGGGTACTTTTTATTCGAAACAGATAAGACACACCTTGAATACAAGGTACGTAGAGCGAGACTTGTGAGATTTTTCGGTTCATATTTCAATTTGGGATTTTTTGGTACCATATTTTGATCTGCCTCGACGTTGATTAGGAATTCCTTGTAAGTCTTTCACTCCTCGAATACAATGGTATTTTACACCAGGCAAATCTTTGACTCTACCTTGAAGTACCAGGTCCTTCTATTCAAAAATTTCTCAGCGATTTCTCAGAACTCGTTCTTCGAAGGTAACTTTGAATACAAGGTACATACCTTATTTTCGAGTTAAGACGGTAGTACGAAACAATATATCTCATCGTTATAACATATTATTTTTTTACTATTATCATTATTATTATTTTTGCAACGGAGTCAGGGCGGATTCTACATCCTGCAACGACCATACTTGTTGAGGGTATGCTCACACAACAGAACATCAATAATGTATCTGACTATCATCTTGTTTACGTTGTTATTTTTTTATTATTTTTTTTGAAAAAAAAATATTTATATGTTGACATAATCATGACATAATCAATTTCGTTGCAATACTTAAAAACAAAAAATAACTTGTAAACGTTCCACATAAAGGCGAGGCTTGAAAAAATTCGGCGTGCATAAAAAATCAGGTTCAATAAAAAGAGACTCGGAGGTGGTGGTGGTTTAATAAATAAAGTATCATTATTCAGAAGAAAAAAAAAATAAGTAAGAAATAATCGTATAAAATAAATTTTACATTGTTTGTTTCTCTGTTGCCTCAAACCTCATTCTCATTACACATGTTTTTTCCACAAACCTTTAGGAACGGTTTGGGGGCAAGGATGCTACCCTCTTATTTCAACCATCCCGCGGGGAAAAAAACTATGAAATTTGATAAAAAGTAGGAAAAGCAGAGGTCGACTTGCCATTTTAGGCGAGTAATCCTTATTGGGATACATACAGTGACTCCCTACTTAAAACCCATGTTGTTGTGGCATCATGTTTTGCTTTGATCATAATCAGTAACTACGATTCAAGTTTTCATACGTTTTTGAGTTTCTAAGCAACCCTTATGCAGTGGGTTTCATGCCTTACTATTCAGCATGATCACACTTCGGTCATGAGATTTTCAATTTATTTGGGAGAAAAACACGCTTTTTGAAAACTACGATTGTAAAAAACAATGGAAAAAAAACAATGATAATTTATTTTCTTATTCGATAGGCATAACCCCCAACCTTGTCTGACACACGTATCCGAAGAGAACACTGTTGAAATGTAAAATAACAATATTGCCCTAAGGTTTAGGAAGACTAACACCACGTTAACGACGCTAAGTGCATCAACTCCACTTAGGTTGAAGATTCAAACAATGACATACATGCATTCGAAACACATCTACTAATTCATAGTATTTCACTCACAAATGTCATTCACGTTATTGGTATATGAGTAATTGGTTCAATTTGATCCGTTATCTACATTGTATCTTTTTACGTTATATTTTATAATTTCATATGACTACATTTGTCACGAATTACCAATACATTATCTTACAAACAGTTTATCCATCATGATTTCATATTCATACTTTGACATCATGATATCATATTTTTTAAGATTGATGAACATTTAAGGAAAAATGTTTGTAAGGGTATTACTAATACATGTAATTAACTAAACGTGGAGGAGGAGGCGGAGGCGGGGAGTAGTGGCTATTTTTGAATTTGAATTCGCGCCAACCAATTTCGGATTGCACGTAGGTAGKGGCCYACCCCCMCCSYCCCCCCCCCCCMACAYCCCSGGGCCCCYCCCYGKGGGGCCCCCCCCCCCCCCCCTCCCCATGATGTGACGTTAACATGCCGCTACTGCGCTGACCCACTGTTGTGTTGCTCAAACTCTAGACGCCGCCGCTATAGCCTTCATCGAGCGGCACCTCCTCCTCCTTCGTCGACATCGAGGTGAGCTTATGTTCGTCCTCTCCCTTCACTCACCTCCACAACCTTTTTCTTTTCCTCGTTCTTCTCCTCGTTCTCCTCGTTCTCCTCTTCCTCCTTCTCCTCCTTGTTCTCCTCCTCCTCTTCCTCGTTCTCCTCCTCCTTCTCCTCCACCTTTTTTTTTTTCCCTTCATCATCCTCCTTCTCCTCATCGTCCTTCTATTAGTCCTCGTCTTGTACTTCTTCTTCCTCCTCCTTCTTTTCCTCCTCTTCAAGCTCATCCTCCTCCTCCTCGTCCTCCTCTTCCCCCACCTCCTCCTCCTCCTCCTCCTCCTCTTTATAGAGGCTCACAGCGTTACTCAATGTACAAATCATTCGTTGGACTTGGATATAGGGGCGAAAGACTTATCAAACCGTGTAGTGGCCGGTTCCCTTCGAAGTTTTCCTAAGGATAGTTGAAATTGTTAAACAATTTTATCGGGTAAAGTCAATGATTGCACGAGGACGAGGAGGAAGAAATGGTCGCGGAAGAGGAGGAAGACGTGGAGGAAGGGTCGAGGCCGAGGAGAAGGACGAGGAGGTGGGGGAGAAACAGGAGCAGGAGGAGGAAGAGGAGGAAAAGGAGGAGGAGGAGGATGACGAGAGGGAGGAGGACGAAGAAGAAGCGGAGGAGGAGGAAAAAGGGGGGTCAGGGGAGAGGAGGATGAAGCTAAGTCTGGAGGTTGGGAGTCAAATTGTCTCGCCTCGACCCCCCTCACCCACCGCCCAACCCCCCAACCTTTTTTTTCCTTTTAAATCAATTAATCAATCAAAAAAAGAAAAATTCAATCAAATCAATCTATTTTATTGACTCTTGATTTTGAAATTAAGATTTAATCAAATCAACCAATCATTTTGAATAAACCATTTAAACAATCAATTTTAAAAAAAAATGTTATCTAGTCGAATCATTCGATTTGATTGGTTCTTGATTTCGTAATAGAAAACCAATCGAATCGATTCATTTGATTTGATAACTTTTTTTTTTTTTTAGCTCTAGAAAAAAAAAGTAGGTTAGGGGCCTGGGTGGCAGGTGAGGGGGGTCAAGGCGAGATTGCCTCGTTGTAGAGATTCGCACAAATTTTATCGTGCAAATCGTTCGTCGGACTTGGATATAGGGGCCAAAGACTAGCTGACCGTGTAGTAGTTGGTTCCCTTCAAAGTTTCCCTGAGGATAGTTGGAGTTGTTGAATAATATTATCGGGTAAAGCGAATGATTACAAGAGGAGGAGGAGTAGGAGGAAAGGGTCGAGGAGGAGGAGGAGAAAGACGAGGGGGAAAAGGCCGAGGCCGAAGAGGAGGAGAAGGAAGCAGAGGAGAAGGAAGCGGAGGAGGACGTGGAGGAGGAGGACGAAGAAGAGGAGGACGACGAGGAGGAGGAGGATGACGAGAGGGAGGAGGAAGAAGAAGAGGCGGAGGAGGAGGAGAGGAAGAGGGAGGAGGTGGTGTCGAGCGCACCGTCCTTGCAAGAGAGGGGACCTTCCCAGCCGTGTCACGCAGGATTCGACAAGACTTTAGTCGTAGAGCATTGCTGCTCCGGCCGAGTGCGCCAGCCATACCTTTCACGAACGCCTATGACAAGATAGGGTCACGCGAGGTACAACTTACCTCCACCTGTGGCAGCTGTCACCATCCCTTAGGTGGGCGTATCACCACCGAGCTACCAGTCCACGATACGAAAACTTTTACATACAATCGCATAAGTGGACCAGTGGAGGGCGTTTTCTCGTACGCTGTAGCATAGGGGGTACGCGAGGTTTCACGCCTCTACCGGACCCGTATGCAAGCCAACGCACTGGGGGGCTGAACACCCAAGCGCGACTCGTCGTCGGTCGACTATGACGCATCATTCTTACCACACTTTACATCATGCTAAAACAAAAAGTCAAATCACTCACACGAAACAAAATATTCATAGTCCCTTCAGTATCCAACCCAGAACCTTCTGATACGAAAATCGGTTAGGCATCGCGCGCGTGTCTTAATATAAAACCGCGCGTATGCAAGACTTTCTCATATCGACTAGCCATGTATGCATACGCAAGTAGTCGCGACGATTGAGTACTATGTAGTACCCATAATCACGTGGCCCTCGATGGTCTCGAGGTTCATGTTCGACACTCAAGTGTCGGCTGACACGCGCCTTGAGGGTTTAATCTCTCGACGCTAAACAACCGCCAAGGCAGTTAAGAACCGCACCCTCTTCTGCACCCTGCGGAGAGTGGGTGTTACACAGGTTCCGGCCTGTGTTGGCAGTCAACCCTTATGGCCATAGAGAGAAACTCCATCATCTAGGGCCTGCAGAGAAGTGGAGGGGTTTGACTTTGACAGTTGCCACGGACTTCAACGTCCAACTATAAAAATTAACAAGCAAAATCACTTAATAAATAAATAGGCATCCCAATACCCATATTAAATCAGAACTCGAAACAAAACAAAAGAAGGCAAAATAAGCTCATCAGGTATGCATAGCGCGCGACAAATGGTTGTCAACCTCACTACCTCCAAAGTAAGGCTCGTACACAGACTCCAAATTACTGACATGCATAAACACATGCACATACGAAAGTCACATTTTTTTTGAATCAATTGAGCAAAAGTCCCTGCAGCCCGAACGAATTTGGCACCTTGGCCTGGATTCCATTCAATATTATGAATCAAAGTACCCACTGGTATATATGCTAATTGTACACAATTTTTCAAAGTTTGCTCCATGTTCCCAAAGCTATGCACATTATTCATGACTGGGCTACCTGTTTTTAATTTATCACAAGCTAATATATAAGTAAATCTTGTAGATGCTGTTTGATGTTGGGGTTGGGTAGATCCTGAGTACCAGCGTACTAGGGCAATCCAAGAGGAACGATTTGGATCATATTCGATTCTTTCTGTGGTTAACTTTACTATTCCTTGTAACTCACACTACGCCTCTCACACTCAAACCCCAATCATTGTCATACTTTTCATCGAAACCCATCAATTCTTTATAATGACCATTAAAAGAAGTCTGGTTAAAACCTTTAAAGAAACATATCAAATCTCAGGGCTAAGGCATCAAGTTGAAGTACAGTTATAAACAAAGTTGTGTCATAAGCCAACGAGTCGACAATCAACCAACTCACCTGTTATCAAAAAGATAACAGTTATCAAAAAGATAACAGAAGCCGACCCTCGTAGGATCGAGCTGAACTAGTCAGATTTTGAATCAAAACGGTCAAGAAGGACCTGTTACACAACACATGTCAAATCTCAAATACTTAAACTTTAAGTGTACGGAGAATAAATCCCTATATCACATCCCACACAAAATCTCATAAGACTGACTCTTAAATCTATCTCTCTCATGAACCTCAGGGAATTAGAAAATTTTTGGCAGCATCTTTCCTATAAAGGGTGGATCACCAAGACTTCTACCAAAATATAGTCCAACTCTTCAAAACTAAGAAAATTTTTGTACCGCTTCCCGTAGGAAAAATGTCTTTTCAAAATTTATACAAGGTTAAATATTAAACTTAAAAATAAGTCTGACTTCATAAAGTCAAATTTTGTTTAACTCCTTGATTTAGTAAAAATTTTGGCAGCACTTCCAAAAAAAAAAAAAACTTCCTAGATTTTACCTAATCCATATATAAACTCAAACAAAAAATCAACTTTAAATGTCAAAATTTGACTAACTCTTTGGTTTTGTAAAAATTTCGGCAGCGCTTCCCGTAGGAAAAACAACTTTCCAAAATTTATACAGAGCCAAGTAAAATAAATGATCCCAGAAAATGCGAGAACTTTAACTCAGTAAAATAAAGTTAACTAAAAAAATGCAGGAATTGAACTAACTCTTATAGCTCCAGCACGTGACGAACACTAAAAGACTACCCTACTATGCAGAAAACAAACAGATCCTGAACAAAAAAAAGTCTTTGTCAGAAAGCGTGTCATGTCCACAATGCATTCAACCAATTCAAAACAAAGGTTCGTTCATCCAAAGTTTTAATCTTTAGTTTGTCATGATCACAAAAACATTAATCTTGTATCTTACTTAGATAATTAACTTTCTAAGTTGTTATAAGTCAACCCCATGTAATCACGTACACACTAGCCTGGACTATGCTCTAAAGGAGAAGAGTCATACCTTTGTCAACAAGCAAAACTGACTGACTTAGTAAAGCGACCGGATTGGTTAGGAATACCTCATTTTCAACCTGATTTAAATGTTTTAGACAAACGAGCAAAGCGACCAGATCAGTCAGGAGGACTTCATCTCTAATCATATTTCAATGCCTTAAGCAAACGAGCAAAGCGACGGGATCAGTCAGGAAGATTTCATTCCCAATCCTATTTTAATGTCTTAAGCAAATGAGCAAAGCGACCGGATCACTCAAGATCAGTCAGAAGGACCTCATCTCCAGCCTCATTTCAATGTCTTAAGCAAACGAGCAAAGCGACCAGATCAGTCAGGAGGACCTCATCTCCCGCCTCATTTCAATGTCTTCAGCAAACGAGCAAAACGACCGGATCAGTCAGGAGGACCTCATCTTCAACCCTATTTCAATGTCTTAAGCAAACGAGCAAAGCGATCGGAGCAGTCAGGAGAATCTAATCTCCAAGCCCATTTCAATGTTTTAAGCAAACGAGCAAAGCGACCGGATCAGTCAGGAGGACCTCGTCTCCAACCCCATTTCAATGTCGTGGGCAAACGAGCAAAACGACTGGATAAATCTGGAGGACCTCATCTCCAGCCTCATTTCAATGTCTTAGGCAAACAAGCAAAGCAACCGGATCAGTCAGGTAGACCTCATCTTCAGCCCCATTTCAATATCTTCGACAATAAGCAAAGTGACCGGATCAGTCAGGAGAACCTCATCCCTAGCCTCATTTTAATGTCTTAGGCAAACGAGCAAAGCGACCGGATCAGTCAGAAGGACCTCATCTCTAGCCTCGTTTCAATGTCTTAGACAAACAAGCAAAGCGACCGGATCAATCAAGAGGACCTCATCTCCAACCCCATTTCAAAACATCGCATGAAGTTATCGTCGATTCCATTTCAAGCAAAATGAAATTAAACAAGCATAGTTAATTATCTCTGATTCGGTTGAAGTCCTGAATTAAAGGTGAAGAAATATACAAAAAGTCAAAACTGAGTTAAACTAAATGTAGGGTGATATAGATAGGGGTATACGAAATCCTAAGGGAGATTGCTTCAGCCTAACTGAAAGTCCCCTGCCTCCAAGGTTATGCCTGAACCCCGACAGAGTTCCCGCAATCGGTGGGGCGAACCTCCCAGGCCTTAGCACGGATTACGGGTTTCGATCCCACCTGATGCCTTCCTCTCTGAACCAAAAGACCAAACTGAGAGTGAGAAGGGAAGATGAAGATAAGTTAAGTCACTCTAAT